CCGATTTTGTCAAGAATTTTAAATACTTTTTCGAGATTTTCCAAGGCTTCTGGAAAAGTCTTTCCGAAGCATGCTAGGTCATCTATATAGATCACAAGTGATTTATATAACAGTTCTGAGAAAGCATTGTTGACTATTCTGCTGAATATTGCTGATGAGTTGCGAAAACCCATTGGTAATCGGCAAAACGTCATTAAGCCACACGCACTGGTGAATGAAAGTAAATGTTGACACTCTTCTTTAATAGGAATTTGAAAAAAACTATTATTAAGATCTAGACTTGAGAAGAATTGTGAGTTTTCTAGTGCTCTGAACAAATCTTGAGATCGTGGAAGTGGATAGTTGTCAGGTTCAACTCTTTCGTTTAAGTCCTTGTAGTCTATTACTAGACGATGTTGATCTTTTTCTTTCTTTTTGACGAGAAAAGCGTTTGCTGCATATTTTGACATGGCGTGTTTAATTATTCCTACGTCAAGTAATTTATCTAATTCTTTTTTCAAAATGTCTCTTTGAGCAGGGGATACTCTATGTGGAGCATTAAATTTTGGTTCTTTTACGTTTTCCTTTAGTTTTATTTCACATGGCGGTACTTTTGCTGGCTCTAATCTAGATGCGTCCGTAGAAAATACGTGTAAGTATTTGTTCACTAGGTCAACTACTTTAGCGTGTTGTTCTTGGGATAAATGTGATGATATCTTAATAGGCGTGTTGTCATTGTCGGTTAATTGCTCTTTAATTGTTTCGTTATGCATAGCTGTGTGAACAGTTGACAATGATGTTGCTTTGTCCTGTATCATCGTTTCTGTATTTGGGTGGCCGTGGCTCGTGGCGTTAGCTACTCCGATTTCATTGATAATTGCATTATCGTTTTTTATGCACTGTTTACTATGCTCCACGTGGAGCTGTACTGACTGAATAATTTTTTTTAATGGTAGAAATTCGTTTATCTCTACTATATGCTGCGGTATGTACTTTGATGTTTTTGTAGTCGGCTTGCCGGGCCGCCAATGAGTACCATTATTTACATGATATAGTACCGCAAAATTTCGATCACCCGTTCCGTACATTACTCCGTATTTATGTTTTTCAGAATAAATGTACGTGTCCATTGAATAGTGATTTAATATGCTGGCAATTTCTTCATCTGAAAACCAATAGCCTGGGACGTCTTTTATTTTTAATAACACCAATAAATCACAAAGTGTGATTTTCTTTTGTTTAGATGAGCTAATTGCATTGCAAATTGCATGCAATGCGCAATTGTTGTCTTCCGCAACATTTTCGCCCATTTGATATTTTTCGAAGACCTCCCGTAGTTTTGCTAAACGTGTGTTGTCAGCAAATTTATTCTGTGCGGCTATTTGTGTTGTGAGTGTAGAAATAACGTTCTTACTGTTCACGTTATTTGTATTGTTTTTTTTTATTGCGACTTGGTCGGCGTTGTATATTTTCGTAGTTATAATATTTTTTATAATCATCAAATTTGAATTAAAGTTAATATGAGCCTTATTATTGAATAGAAATCTGTTTCCCAATATGAGCGAACTTATTAAGTTATTTACAACATAGACGTCTACATCAAACTGCTCGTTCTCAATGACGATTTGAATAATAGTTTTTCCTATTAAATCCAAGGGCTTGTTATCTGCTCCGGTTATTAGCATATTTTCAACCTTTTTAATGTTGTATCCTTTAGCTAATTCCGCGTTTAATATATTTAGATTTGCCCCGGTATCTATAGTGACTGTTATTTCTGCTTGGTTTAATGTGGCTATGATGTACAATGCTTTTGCGCTAGAATATTGACTTGTCGATTGTACGTACTCAATTTTATTGCTTCTATTAACTTTATTTATAATATTTTTTGATTGATGAGATTCTATTTTTGATTTTGCTAAGGTTAAAGGTGAACGTATGTCCTTAGCGTGAGCGTTTAACCTAAAAGCTAGTTTTTTGAGTTGCAATTTTTTGCTGTGTGATTTTGGCTCTGGCATAATTGACACTTTGTGTCATCTGCTTCCTTTTTTCTGGATCTGCAGACATTTGCTTCGTGGCCGTATTTTTCACAAATTTGGCATTGAACTATTAATTTTTTGTTACGGAAACAATTCTCAGTAATATGGTTAGTCCTGTGACAAATATCACATTTTCTGTTTTTGCCGGACGTGTTACCATTAAATTTTTTTACTGTATTAGTTCGTGATTTCTGAAAATCTAAAAGTTCTTTGACTTGCCTTTTTAATTGCTTTAGCTCATTTTCTTGTTTTTTATTTGACATGTGTTGGATTTGTTCCTTAAGAATGTCTGTTCTAATTTCTGAACTAGACTTACTTTTATCGCCTTCTATGAGAAATTCTGTAGTCTCCCATTTTCTTATGTTCTTTTTTAGACTGTCCAANAGTCTCCCATTTTCTAAGTAATTGAGTGGGTTATGATAAAAAAATCACCCTGTATAAGGTTTCAAAAAAAAAAAAATTATATTGATTAGTTTTTTTTTGAAAAAGTTATGGTAGTTTTATAAAAAAAAAAGTGAATATAATTTCAAAGATTACTGATTTTTAAAAGTAATTTTTTGAGAGATTTTCTTGATATACGGGGAACGAGGAAAATTTTTTTTAATTTTCAAGAGTAATGTCTTCAATTAGATACAATTTATGATCTTTTGACGTATTGTTAAAAGAAATCGGTCCAATGAGAGCCGAGAAAAAGTTGTAACAGACACAAAAAAAAAAAAATAAATAAATACATCACGGTAAAATTAATTAAAAACCCAACCCAACCCAACCTTCTCAGCTTCGAATCGAAGCTAAAATAATTTTGATATTTTTTATGAATTTTAAAACATGTATAATTATTGCTTAGATATCATATAAACTATTTCTTATTGAGGAATTCTAAAACCATATTTGGAATTAGCAGAAAAATTCTATATAGGATTCATCTAAATATTTTAAACCGCAGAATTTTTTTTTCTTGTGTAATTATTATGATTTCTCATTGTATAATTTTTTAATAATATTATTCCAATAAAATATTTTGGGATATATAAACTTTATAATAGGACATTTATTATACATTATACGATCTATACCATAATACTATATCTACTTTTATTTTTAACATTTATGCGTAAAAAATTAACGCATTACGCAATGTAATTTTACGATTGTATGAATCATTAAATACTTTTTAAAAATTGTTTAACCCAATCGCAGAACCAATGTTTTAAAAATAAAAATGCTTATTCCGGTTTTTAATCTAAATATTAAAAATTTCCATGTTCAAGAATTAGGTTTTTAGGTTCATTTGCTGTCGTATAATTATATTAACTTTAATTCCTGTAACTATATTTCAAAATTATACGAATATATATTTTTATTCAAATTAAAAATTTGTAATTGTAGCAATGTGTAATCTGTGTTATGTTGTAACTATTGGTGAGGCTATACGGCTCAGTACTCCACTAGTGATTAGATATTAGTAGTGTGTCTACGTCGATGAATATAGACAGTGTAGTCTGGTTATTTTCTGATTAAATCTATTATTTTTATTTTATTTGTAATTCATTAACTTACTTTATAATTTACACATTATTATTATTATATTAGTACTGCTGTCAATAGTATTCCATTGTCATTAGTAACCCGTCCTATATAACGATGTTATTTAATTAACATTAAAAAATTATTATTCGGACTAAAATGTATTTCAATAATTTTTTGTACAAAAAAAATTTTATTTTAAAAATAATTAGTCTAAATTTTGTTTGGAAAATACTATTTTACCGTCTACATTAGAAATGTGATAATATTATACAAAATAATTCTATTATCGTATAACACTCGGTAAAGATAGTTACAAACTGAAAATTTTATCATATTGAAGAGTTTTTTTCATTATTTAATTATACACGTTTTTCAATTTTATAATAATTTCTGAAATATACCAACTTATTTGTTTAAAAGGAATATATTAAAACAAAATATTTATAATTAATTAAAAAGGTAGTACAAATCAAAAATTCTTAATGATAAAAATATCACCTTAATTGATAATTTTAATTTACTAAAATTAAAAAAAAAGACAATTACTATTGAACTGTCATTTTCTCAATTAGATATTTCTTTAGTTATTAAAATAAAATTTTAATACGGCAAAAATTAAATATATATGAAGTATAGGATATGGAAATATTTGATATAATAAGAGCACGGCAAAGATCTGAATTAAATGAGAATTATTTAGAAACTAAAGAAGAAGCCAATGCAAAGAATTTCTATTTAAATTTACGTTTTCTTTGTATATTAATTTTGTGTTCAGTAGTTCAAATGTCTTGTGCTATAAGAAAGCGTTGCTTCGTCGGAACCTATTTTTCAAATGCGATACAGTTTCGTATACTCCACGGCACGACAGATCACACACAAAAGGTTAAGTTCATTAATAACACAATGTCACAGATAATTATTACATTATTACATTCTATAAAGCAAATTTCAAAACTAAAATAAAATCATTGTGAACATAATCTCTCTTAGGGTGAACTGCCGAGAGACTCCCTAAAAATTCAGATTACTCATATTTAAATAGTAATAGCCCCTATTTAACTTATAAACAAGACAACATTTAAAATACTTGGTTGGATCAAACATTCCCTCCTTGTTTTGAAAAAACATGCCATCGTATATTTTGATAAGAATTAAATATTTAAATTTAAATTTTTGAATTCTTATTAACTAACATAAACTCTATTTTAGAAACATAGCTAAAAACTAAATTTATGATTATTTTTTAATTACTAGTATCTTATCTGGTGGGTTGTATTCGTAGATTTACTGTAAATCTTGTAAATTTTTCTATTACATAAGTATAAAGCAATAGTAGGGAAAACTATATAACTATAAAACTATATTACAATTAAACTGTTACTCTATGAAATGAATATTTTTTAGTGATTTAAAATTTCATATAAAAAAAATTAATACATTATTGTATTCGTTTAGGGATTGTAGATAAATATTCGTGTAAAGAAAAAATATGTCTATTTGAAAAAGGTACAACGAACACAGCTGTTGCAATCGGTTACATTAAAACATTAAAACTAGCTTACGAGAGTGGATGTAATTGGGATGAAAATACGACTACTGAAGCTGCAGCAAATGGGCATTTAGAATGTTTAAAATATGCACATGAAAATGCATGTAAATGGGATGAGAAAACTACACAGGCTGCTGCTGCAAATGGACATTTAGAATGTTTAAAATATGCACATGAAAATGTATGTAAATGGGATGAGAAAACTACACAAGCTGCTGCTGCAAATGGACATTTAGATTGTTTAAAATATGCTCACGAAAATGGCTGTAGATGGGATGAGAAAACTACACAGGCTGCTGCTGCAAATGGACATTTAGATTGTTTAAAATATGCACATGAAAATGTATGTAAATGGGATGAGAAAACTACACAGGCTGCTGCTGCAAATGGACATTTAGAATGTTTAAAATATGCACATGAAAATGTATGTAAATGGGATGAGAAAACTACACAAGCTGCTGCTGCAAATGGACATTTAGAATGTTTAAAATATGCACATGATAATGCATGTAAATGGGATGAGAAAACTACACAAGCTGCTGCTGCAAATGGACATTTAGATTGTTTAAAATATGCACATGAAAATGTATGTAAATGGGATGAGAAAACTACACAAGCTGCTGCTGCGAATGGACATTTAGAATGTTTAAAATATGCACATGAAAATGTATGTAAATGGGATGAGAAAACTACACAAGCTGCTGCTGCAAATGGACATTTAGAATGTTTAAAATATGCACATGAAAATGTATGTAAATGGGATGAGAAAACTACACAAGCTGCTGCTGCGAATGGACATTTAGAATGTATAAAATATGCTCACGAAAATGGATGTCCGTGGGATGTGAGCACAACAAAAGCAGCTGCAAATTATGGTAATTTAAAAAACTTAAAATACATTCACGAAAATGGATGTAAATGGGATCAAAAAACCACAATGGCTGCTGCTGAAAATGGGCATTTAAAATGCTTAAAATATGCTTTTGAAAATGGGTGTAATTGGAATGAACAAACAACTTTAAATGCTGCTTTAGGAGGTAATTTTGATTGTTTGAAATATGCACATGAAAATGGATGCAAATGGCATAAAAAAATAACGGAAGTAGCTGCTTCTAAGGGTGATTTAAATATATTAAAATATGCTCATGAAAACGGATGTGATTGGGCTGTTAGTACTATAGTTTCAGCTGCTGAGCACGGTAATTTAGATTGTTTAAAATATGCCTATGAACATGGATGCCATATCATTGAAGGTACGATGAGAGGGGCCGCTTCTAATGGACATCTAGACTGTTTAATGTACGTATATAACAAAGGTTGTGTATTGGGGGATGAAGTCATGACTTGTGAACATACCGCGAATGATAGTTTTAACTGTTTGTTATGTGCTCATGATAACGGTTTTGAATGGGATGAAGGAACAACTAGAGTAGCTGCAGAAGGAGGTCATTTAGACTGTTTAATATATGCTCATGAAAACGGATGTGAATGGGATGAAGGAACAACTAGAGTAGCTGCAGAAGGCGGTCATCTAGAATGTTTAATATATGCTCTTGAAAACGGATGTGAATGGGATGAAGGAACAACTAGAGTAGCTGCAGAAGGCGGCTATTTAGACTGTTTAATATATGCTCATAAAAAGGGATACGAATGGGATGAAGGAACAACTAGAGTAGCTGCAGAAGGCGGCCATTTAGACTGTTTAATTTATGCTCATGAAAACGGATGCGAATGGGATGAAGGAACAACTAGAGAAGCTGCTCTAGGCGGCTATTTAGACTGTTTAATGTATGCTCATGAAAACGGATGCGAATGGGATGAAGGAACAACTAGTGAAGCTGCTCTAGGTGGCTATTTGGACTGTTTAATATATGCTCATGAAAAAGGATGCAAATGGGATGAAGGAACAACTAGAGAAGCTGCTCTAGGCGGCTATTTAGACTGTTTAATGTATGCTCATGATAATGGATGCGAATGGGATGAAGGAACAACTAGAGTAGCTGCAGAAGGCGGCCATTTAGACTGTTTAATTTATGCTCATGAAAACGGATGCGAATGGGATGAAGGAACAACTAGAGAAGCTGCTCTAGGCGGCTATTTAGACTGTTTAATGTATGCTCATGATAATGGATGCGAATGGGATGAAGGAACAACTAGAGTTGCTGCAGAAGACGGTAATTTAGACTGTTTAATATATGCTCATGAAAAAGGATGCAAATGGGATGAAGGAACAACTAGAGTTGCTGCCGGAAGCGGCTATTTGGACTGTTTAATATATGCTCATGAAAACGGATGCGAATGGGATGAAGGAACAACTAGTGAAGCTGCTCTAGGTGGCTATTTGGACTGTTTAATATATGCTCATGAAAAAGGATGCAAATGGGATGAAGGAACAACTAGAGAAGCTGCTCTAGGCGGCTATTTAGACTGTTTAATGTATGCTCATGATAATGGATGCGAATGGGATGAAGGAACAACTAGAGTAGCTGCAGAAGGCGGCCATTTAGACTGTTTAATTTATGCTCATGAAAACGGTTGCGAATGGGATGAAGGAACAACTAGAGTTGCTGCCGGAAGCGGCTATTTGGACTGTTTAATATATGCTCATGAAAACGGATGTAAATGGGACAATAGCACGACTAAAGATGCTGCTCAAGGCGGACATTTGAATTGCTTAAAATATGCTTATGAAAATGGATGCGAATGGAATAAAATGACAACAGTGGTAGCTGCACAAAACGGCAATTTGGAATGTTTAAAATACGCTCATGTAAATGGATGTAATTTGGCTGAATGTACAACATTGGCATCTGTTGTAAACGGTCATTTAGACTGCTTAACATATGCTCATGAAAACGGATGCAAATGGGATAATAGAACAACTAAATTCGCTGCTGATGGCGGACATTTGGATTGCTTAAAATATGCTTATGAAAATGGATGCGAATGGGATAAAGCAATAACGAAATCAGCTGTTACTAGAGGTAATTTAAAAATCATTAAATATGCCCATGAAAAAGGACATCCTATAGACGAAGATACATACAGATTTGCCGTTTTAAGAGGTAAGCTAGAAATACTGAAATATGTTCATGAAAACGGATATAAATGGGATAAAAAAACAACAAGGTTATTTGCTGCTAACGGGCATTTAGAATGTTTAAAATATGCTCATGAAAAAGGTTATGAATGGGATGAAGGAACAATAGTTACAGCAGCAGTGCATGGTAATTTAGATTGCCTAAAATTTGCCAATCAACACGGATACAGTTGGGTCGAAGGTACGACGAGAGGGGCAGCTTCTAATGGACATTTAGACTGTCTAAAATATGCTTATAACAATGGTTGTGAATGGGATGAAGGCACAACGAGAGAAGCCGCTGCTAGAGGTTCCATTGATTGTTTGAAATTTGCTCGTGAAAATGGTTGCGAATGGAGTGAAAGTACAAAAATTACAGCCGTCGCGCATGATCATTTATATTGCTTTGAATATGCTCACGAAAATGGTTGTCCTAATTAGTTGTTTATTGTATTTATTCTTTTTTTTATTTATTCATGTTTTTAGTTTTTCAAAAAAAAATTTAAATAAGTTTAACTTTCTATGCTATGTTAATTTTTATTTATATAATATTTATAAAAATCTGTACTCCCCTTGTAAGGTATTTAAAAAAAAAAAAAAAATACAAAACCCAGAATTTTAACACTAAATTAGCATATTTCAAGAATACGGTGTCATTTTTACCATGAAGACAAATTTTTTTTTTCAAATTAAAGTATTTTACATAAGCTTTAATTTAAGATATATATAAAAGTGTCAGTATTTCCGGAATACTTTCAAAAATTAAATTGAAAATGTCCTAGTTTCAATACACATGTTTAAAGTTTTGACCCCCCTTGTATAAAGGGGTATGATCCGAATAACAAAAAAAGCGTGTCAGATGAAAGTGGTATATAAAAATTTATTATAAAAAATAATAATATTGATCCATACATTTTTCCAAAAGTTATATAAAATATAAATTAAATAATATAAAATATAAAATCGAGAATTTTTTCATGGAAAGCATACGTTTTTCTTTAACTTTGGTGTTAATTTTCACCACGAAGACAAGTCCATAGGTCAAATTTTTTTTTTCAAATTAAAATATATTACATAAGCTATAATTTAAGATATAAATAAAAGTGTCAGTCTTTCCGAAACATTTTCAAAAGTCAAGTTGAAAAAATTGTATAAAGGGAAATGATCCGATTTAAAAAAAAAGTATATTGAATGAAACAGATATATATAAAGTATTTATCATTAAAGAATAACGTTGATTCATGCATTTTTTAAAAAGTTATAGCATCATAATATTAAAAAATGTAAAATATAATATCTAGAATTTTTTCACAAAAATAGCATAATTTTGCATACGGTAGTCATTTTTACCATGAAGACAATTCCAGATGTCAAATTTTTTTTTTCAAATTAAAGTATATTACATTAACTTTAATTTAAGGTATAAATAAAAGTGTCAGTCTTACCAGAACATTTTCAAAAGTTAAGTTGAAAAAGTTAATTTTTTGTATAAACGTTACCATTTTGAAACCCTTCCTGTGGGCTGTTAAAGAGTCAAATGATCACAAAAATATATAAAATGATAGATCAATACCTAATGTATCTATAAAAAAAAATTATATTGATTCGGTCATTTTTAAAAAAGTTATGGCAATTTTAAGTAAAAAAAAATGAAAAAATATCGAAAATTAGCGATTTTTAAATTTGTAATTTTTTGGGGGATTTCCCCCGTTTACGGGGAACGAGGGAATTTTTTTCAATTTTTGAGGGTAATGTCTTCGACTAGATACGATTTGTGATCTTTTGACATATTGTTCATCAAAATCGGTCCAGCGAGAGCTGAGATTGAGCGTTCACAGACACAAAAAAAAAATAAAAAAAACACATCATAGTAAAATTAATACCTTCTCAGCTTCGCATCGAAGCTAAAATGACTCATTTTAGCTTCGACCCACTATAAAATAAGCTGATTTTATTTTCAACTTGATTTAAGTTTCTATATGTCAAATGTGTTAAATTTTAAGAAATCCTGAAAAAATCTTGTTTTTTTTAAATCTGACGAATAGTTAAAATTCATATTTATTTAAAAATTATGCAAAACATATTTAATTTCGTCATTTTTAAAGGTTGTTTATTTTTGAAATATTTATCCAAATATAAAAATTTAGAATTTTGTTTTCATATTTTGAGCATTGATAGATTGAACTAGATTTAAATCTAGTTCTTTTTATGCATGCAAATCGGTCTTTAAAAACCTTATTACTATTGTGATATGACACAACGAATCCAGGTTCATAAAGAGAAAACTTAATGGATTGGATCAAATCCAATTTTATATAGAAATAAGATCTATCTCATCACAATTGACTAGCTATTTTTTAGAACTCTAATGTAATAAATGGGGTATTTATTACATTGGAGTTCTAAATTTACTAGTTAATTATTGTAAATTTTGATAGAAGAATTAATCTAGGATCTATTTCATTTTTTATTTTTATATATTTTTTTATTGTACTTTTATACACAGTCATAAGTTTTATAACAATTTTTGAAGTGAAACTTTTACAGACAGTCCAAAGAAAGATTAAAAAACTTTCAATTTTTTTTTCATCTCAAAAAGAATTAAAAAAAAACCTCGTATCCCAGGCGTATAAAACTGTAATATATTATACGCAGCCACAGTGAATCAAACGAATATTGGCTAAAAATGATAATTTAAGATAGTTCAAAAATTCAAAGCAGCTTTTATTAACTTTGAAGAGACAAAATAATCCAAATAAGTTTAAATTTATATTTAACGTAAGTTAGATTCATGTACTTTTGATAAAAATCGGTGACCTCATTACTATTAAAAACCCTTATAAAGCACTTTAAAATAATATAAAAAAGAAATTGAACACTAAAATACATGTAGCATGTTTTTTAACTACAGCAGCCATTTGCACGTAGAAGATAAGTCTCGACACTAATTTTTTTTTTAATTCGCAGCGAAATACATTTGAACCGGTTTATAGGAATTGTTATCGCCGCTCGTTGGTATGTTTTTGTTAAATAAATCAGTTTTATACTTGACACCCTTGTGTTGCATCATTTGTGTTACCACATCGTACATATAACATAGTACGTAACATAAGCTTTAATTTGACATATGTTTTAAGGACGCAGTATTTCGGGAACATTTTTAAAACTTAAGTTGAATAAGTTGACTTTTGTAAAAAAAATTGCTATTTTTAATCCTCCCTAAGAGCAAGTTAAGTGTCAGATTTTTTGACTTTAAAAAAGCAAAAAAATTTAAATAAGTTTAACTTCTTATGTCTTATGGACTTTATTATAAATAATAATATAAACTTTAATTTAAAATTAAATAAAAGTGTCCATATTTCCGGAACGTTTTCAAAAATTGAAAAAGCTTAACTTGTGTGCAAAAATTATTTTTTTGAATCTCCCCTGCGGGCAGGTTTAGATTTTCAAAAAAACAATATTAAATGAAAGGGAAACATCTAAAGTTTTAACGCGTATCCAATATATATATATAGTTGAGCACCGCACAGTATATTTATTTAATTATATAGATATATAGACAAAATTGATCACCGCAGTCAAGTCACAAAACAATGCAGAGACAATATATATATTATTATCAGTGTTGAGAAGGAACGGATTCCTGGAACGAGTTCTTTTTGAAGGAACGATGCTAGGAACTGCTTCCTTTTAAAATAAAGGAACGAGGAAAATGAACAAATTCCATTTTTTAAGGAACGTGAACGGAAATTACAGTTCCTAAAAATTTTTATAAACATGTTTTAGTGTAGTTTTCTTCGTATCTAGACATTAAAATATTAAGGTATTTTTAGTTGACTTTTGACAATGGAAGTCCCCTATATACCCAGCCGAGATCGTAGGCTGTTTAAATGAATCAATTGACTATAAATAGAGTTATTATCACATGTAGGTATACAGTAAATATTTAATATATGTGTACATATATTAAATAATGCACCGAATATTATCGTCGTTTCTTGTTAACTAATTTATGTTAAAGGTTTTGGGTTTTCTGATTTATTATTTCTAACTTATATGTAGACAATAGACATTGGTCGCGTTGACACAAGTCGTTAGCATTTACTACCTGCTTATAAATATAATTTTCGAATACTTTTAGATAAGGAATACTACAAATTTGTTTTGTATTCGACTGCTGATGAAAATCATTGATGACCGTTATCATGATCTCATTGCCACAATTTTTTAAATAACTTGGTTACATAAAAGGAACGAAGAGTGGAACGAGTTCTTATTTTGGAGGAACTGGATCTGGAACAAGTTCCTTCTTAATATAAAGAACTAGGATCTGGAACGAGTTCATATTTTAGAAAATGAACGGGGAACGGAACGAGTTCCATTTGAAAAGGAACTTTCCCAACACTGATTATTATACTATTCGCATAAATACACTTTCACACGATAGGTTATAATTGAACACCGCAGTCAAGTTACAACGAAAATGCAGAGACAATATATAACAAAAAAAAAGAACATGAAACGTACGCAACAAAACCAAAAGACACCAGTTATGGCGTACGTCGGAAACGGAACAGAACGCAATATCAGTAATCCATATTCAGCGGCGGCCTTATCTCAGTTTCAAGGGCGGGGAGACAATCGATGACAACCGATTGTCATATTAATAGCTGGGACGGCTGATATCGAGAGAGACACGGGTGAGCGCCAACCTAGCGCAAAAGGCGGTGCCGTGTCAGTTTCAATATAAAAAAAAAGATAAATTTTGATTTTTTCTTTTGTCAATAAATGGCAATTTTTAGAAAAAAGTAAAAAAAGTCGAAATATACAGATTTTAAAAATTGTTATTTTTTGGGGACTTCCTTCATTTACAAGGAACAAGGGAAAATATTTCAATTTTTAAAGGCAACATATTTAACTAGGTACAATTTTTGTTCTTTTGACGTATTGTTGAAAGAAATCGGTCCAGTGAGAGCTGAGTAAAAGGAGTGACAAACACAAAAAATAAACAAATCATAGTAAAATTAATACCTTCTCAGCTTCGCATCGAAGCTAAAACAGTTTCCATTATTTCGTAGTTGGAAGGTTATACAACATATTTTAAATTTTCTTAAACACTTTTTAAAAATGAATAAAAAAAAAAACTCAGCACGGTGGGATCGTGGCATAGTTGGGTCCAGTATAGATGATATCTAACAGTGATTAAAATCACTATTATAAAAAACGCTTCGATGCAAATCTGTAGATAGTGTTTAATTAAAAAAAAAAAATTTGTCAAAAAAGTAGGTCAAATGAGAGCTGAGAAAATAAATGATAGCTACAAAAAAAAAACCACATAGTAAAATAATATTAATATGAATTTCTTCTCACAAGAGGACACTACAGTAATGGAATCTTTGATATTTATTGAAGTTATTGAATCTAAATGAGATAAAAATGAAATGAGTTAAACATTTTTTTTTTAACTCAAAAAGAATTAAAAAAAAATTTAGTGCCACAGTCGTGAAAGACCCAAGTGTTACCGTCTCAAAAACCGTAAGTCTTGTGACGAATGGTCACTTCATAAAAATGGAAATTTAGCTAGTTCAAATTTTAAAGTTATTTTTC